TCCATATTCAGGCATGAGGAGTTGACCACTAAAAGCCATAACTCTGGTGCAAACATACACTCTTTCAGCCTCATTGCTGGGACATTTGCTTTTAATTAACTTTATTTGGACCACTTTTTATCCCAAAGAATAGGGGATCAAGTGGAGTATACATTTCTTACTCTACTGTTTTTAGGTCCATATTGTCCTTTGATGAATCCAGATCCAGTTATGATAGTGTCCTTGTTGTTTCCACAGAGGGTGATCAATTTCTCCCATTTTCTGGGAAGGCCTCCCTCTCATTCCTTAACCTAAAATGTCCCTTAAGGTTTAAGCATATATTCCTGGTAGCCTTTCATAGATCGTCAACATAAGTGCCTGTCTATGTGCTCAATGTGACTCAGGTCTCTGTCACATCACACAAGCCTGTGCACAGTGTTTACTTTTTGGCTTTTACAAGCATAGGGGAGCTTTGTCTGTTGTAGTGGCCTCTGCAGTCATGCAACCATACTGGGTTTGTCAACAACATGGCAGCCCTTGAGCCTGAACAGGCGCCAACTGCCCGACCCCCCGACCCCCCGAATGACAGTGTGTCCAGTCAAGACACACAGTCATATAGTTCTTCAGGAAATCTACCACGATGAGGCGAAGCTGCATGTGTGCCAGTAAAGCTAGACATGCGGTTTAATAGCACCTACTGTACGTATATGATTGTCCACCGTTTATGGCGCTCTCCGCCTGATAAGAGCTCTCATAAACAGCCTCATGCGCTGTCGTGACATGCACTGCCTGTCTGACAATCAATACTTTTCCATCACAGAGTGCCGGATTGGCATGACTGCCCATACTGTCTACTGCCATCCACTAAGCTACAGCTTATGCGATGTATTTGACAGTTTGTCCAGGGTGCAACACTGTCAGTGGTTTTGGGTTTGTATTTAAAGCTGTGGTCCACGAAGGGATCTAGAGGGTTGATCCAACTTTGAGAGAAAGAACATGCCTCTCGCATATTGTGCTGCTTTTTAAAAACTTATATGATTGTAATCTGAATATCTCTGGGATTTGCGCCGGTTATCATATAAAACTGGCTATTTGATGCTGTCTCTGGGGTTCGGCGGGACAAACACTTTTCACTATTTTGTGGACTAAGCTATTCATCGCTATTAATTGAGAAATTATTGGCCGATGGATCGAGCCTGAAAAAAATAGTTTGTTGCAGCACTTTAGCCAATACTAGCCTCAAAACCCAACATCAATGTCATGTTCTGTTTTGTTGGCGATATTATGCCCTAACTAAGACTTATATAATAATAAATATCCACGTTAGTTAAAATTGGTGTGGACTTTATAAAAAAGCCATGCATTTCTAATATAAAGGAGTTTAGTGTGGTACTGTCAAAATCATGTCAGTATTAGAATTATTTTATATATATATATATATATATATATAATTAAAACCTGGTTGTTTCAAATGTTAATATTCACCTTTCCCTTATACAGAGTTCATCTGTTATGTTTTGTGTGTGTGTGTGTGTGTACGGTCTGTATTGTCTCAGCAGTGCCCTGCTTTTGATGCAATTAATTTTTTTATTCTTTTCGAAAGCTGCCCAGTGCTCCTGCCTGGCGTGTATGGCTGTATCCTGTAGTTATTGGTCGTTTGAACAGCGAGAGAGACTGAGAGGTAGACACCCACAGGCTGTTGTTACATAAGTGAATGAGCAAGGGAAGGAGATGTCTGTCTCCTCCACACAGCGACCCGGTCAGGCTTACTTCTAAATCTGTTAACCCAGATACCCGGGGCTAGCACACTGCCTTGCATAGCACCTGCCACACGGCTGAAGCACACCACGGGAACAGGTGAAGGAGGGAAACGGGACAGTATTTAAAAAAATTATATTCATCTTGGAGATCTCCTCGGTGTGGAGGTGAGCTGCAGAAAAACATCTCGAGAGCTGGTGGGGCTTCAATGTTACGCTCAAGGTCACTTCATCTGGGTGGATTTCTGCCAACTTAAACCAGAGTCCTGTGGAGTACCAGGGGAAACGGGGAGTGGTTGAATATTGATCTTAATGTTGCAGAACACTTTGAGTCGCTTCTCTTTTCTTGAGAAACAAGCTGCATGGCTTTTTGTTGGATGTCGTGACGTGGGTTCATGCCACCGTGTCGGCAAGCATCCGGTGGGCTAAAGTGTCTCTAAGCAGGACTCTTATTCTCCACCAGCTGCGCTGACTCTGCTTTATAGCTGACGCTGCACTGTGTCATCTACATCATGGAGGCAAATCGCTATGAAAAAATAGAACTCACCCCTGGAGATCAATAAAGTATCACATCATTGTGAGCTGATGGTGAGTTTTGTGTTTCCTGGAAGAAGTGGATTTCTCAGGCTGCGTGTTATGCGATATGATCGAAATTTCATACAAAAACACAAGGGGTTTAGCAGTGAAACTGTTTTATCGTGGAGGTGAAGCTTGCTTGCTTAAATATTGTTTGCTGCTTTGTGTGCGCAGGTTTAATCATCTCAGCTGGACCACAAAAGCATCTGCGTTTTCAGACCTCTTGTCGTTGTTTCAGTCACTGTACAGTGGAAAGAAGATTTGGCCATCATCTGGCTATCGAAACAGCTGAGGAATCATGACTCCTTCCACTTTTAGCTGAGGAACACGAGGATCTCCCCACATTTTCTGGGTATCATATCCCAAAAAAAATGGAGAATAAAAAAAATAAAATAAAAATTAAAAATGGAGAGTATCTGCACACACTGGATGAAAGCTTCCAAACTTCCCAAAACACTTGCAATAGCAGCCCAAGGGTTGCATATGTGTTGTTGGATCAGTTGACAATGGCGAGATGTAATACTTTTTGTTTCTGTTCTCCTGAACCTGTTCTAAATATAGTGAGCACTCTACTACCTTTCTGCATCAATATGTTTTTATCATCTCATCTTGGGAGGTGGATGCTGGTGCTGCAGTAGTCTATGATGCTGCTACGTGCCCATTGGGTGGTTCTTTAAGGAGAGTACCGGTAATGAGAAATGAATTTGTTTGACCCTGGGTTAATTTTTTGCACACTGTATTGTAAGTTAGTAATGGTGTTTCTGCCAGACATTTTGCTATGACGAACTGCGTGTTCACACTGTCCTTCTTTATTTTCAAAGGAGCGCTCCCTGAGCTGATTTCTTCACTGACAGAACGACTAAAAATAACCTGAAGGATCAGACAACAAGGCACACTTTGTTTTCTATAGTTTACTACCTGCAGTTTTTAGCACATTGCTTCACTCTTTCAACAGCAACTCCCACACCAGTCTTTTTGCGATCGAGGAGCAGCTGCTGACAACTGGTTTGTTACTACGTTTTCTTTCTTTCTGGTGTCTCTAAATTTCACATCATCTCTACGAAATTCATTTCCTATCACAAAAAATGCAACGCTTCGAGTCTTTTGGCAAATGCAGACATAACATCAGCCTCTGGTAAAGTGTAAAGGCAGTGATTATTTGTGTACAAATAGTTGATAATGTGAATATTAATTAAATCTTCCCCCTCTTTCTCGTCAGGTGAACTCGTGGAGCGGTTCCATCGAGATTGGCGTGACGGCGCTGGACCCCGCCGGGCTGGACTTCCCCAGCAGCGCCACAGGCCTTAAGGGCGGTTCCTGGATCGTGTCGGGCTGCTCGGTGCTACGCGACGGCCGCTCGGTCCTGGAGGAGTACGGCCGCGACCTCGACCAGCTAGCCGAGGGCGACCGGGTGGGCATCCAGCGCAGCTCCCGCGGGGATCTCCACCTCTGGGTTAACGGGCAGGACTGCGGTGCGGCCGCGAGCGGCTTGCCGCCCAAGCTCTGGGCAGTGGTGGACCTGTACGGAAAGTGCACTCAAGTGACTGTGGTGAGCTGTGAGCCACCCTCAGCAGAGAAAGAGACAATAGAGCAGGAGGACGAGGAGGACGAGGATGAGGAGGATGAGGAGGAAGAGATGGTGGTGTGCGGGGGTCAAGGGGATGTAGGGATCACGGCACTGATGAATGTGGCAGCAATGAATGGAATGATGAATGGAGATGAAGGTAAGGGGCCTTTTTATCAATGTGGTTCTCTTTTTCTAACCTATACTCTGGGATTTGTTGTTCTCACCTGCTGTTTCCTCACTCTCCTCCCTGTCAGTGCCTGAGCTTAGCTGCAGTCACAGCAGACCAGACAAGTTCCCCAACAACCTGGAGCCTGACACAGGTAAGAAAATCCTCCTCAGACCAGGTCATGGACTTTGTACAACATGACCAGCATTTACACCCTCCTCTTCCTCCTCTATGTCTCTCTCCAGTTCTAACAGAGCACCAGCTCTTTGATGTGTTCAACAACGCAATAGTATCTTTTTATCGCGCTGAGGATGAGGGTGGAGGGGGAGATGGTGGCGGTGGAGGAGGAGCAGGAGGCGGCGGCAATGCAGGAACTGACTCCTCTGCCAGAAATGACAGAGGGAGCAGCAGCGGCAGCAGTGGAGGAGGCGCGGTCAACAGCGACAGTGGGGTGGCGACAACAGGAGGAGGAGGAGGAGGAGCTGGAGAAAGTGGAAATACTAATAACAGCCCGGCTGGTAACGGAGGGGTCGGGCCAGGGGTTGTGACAGGCGGGATGACCACCAACGACGCACTGCTGTTCCACGAGAAATGTGGCACACTGATCAAACTGAGCAACAACAACAAAACGGCGGAGCGGAGGAGACCACTGGACGAGTTCAACAACGGCGTGGTGATGACAAACCGGCCGCTCCGACACAACGAGATGTTTGAGGTGTTTACAGTCACACAACTCCGTGCTGGGATGTTTGTTGACCACTAACCAGTGATCACTTACTTATATACTCTACTGTCATGGTTTTTAATTTTATTAAGCCCACAGGCGGATGTTACTGAATTAATAAATATCCCAGTGTATCTGACCAGTAACCTTGATAATAATATATAATTTGACTCATCGCTCAAAGTAGACCTGCAAATAAGGATTCTTTATCAATGTAAACCTGTTTTTCGATTAATAATTGAGAGTAAAAAAGGCCCAACACAGTTTTCCAAAGCCTAAGGTGACAATAGATACAAGATATTTCATTTCTAGAGATAAAAAACTAAAGAAATGTTGCTTGTTAAATGACTGAAATGTTTAATTGATTATCAAAACTGTTAATTTGTTTCCAGTCCATCCACTGACTGATTTATAGCTGTTTAAGCACTACTAGAAGATTGCAAAGAATAAATACTTGAGGATGGCCACACAGACAAAGAGTCATTAATGTTACTGTATTTCATGCCTGGAGGTCTGGTGATATTCATCACTTTGTGCTGGAGGCAGAACGGAGAAGATCTGCATTTAGTTTAAATGTGTTTCTGTTATACTTTCAGATCCGCATTGATAAGCTGGTGGACAAGTGGTCAGGCTCAATAGAGATCGGCGTGACCACACACAATCCCAACAACCTGGACTATCCTGCAACCATGACCAATCTGCGCTCAGGTCACACACACACACACACACACACACACACACACACACACACACACACACACACACACACACACACACACACACACACACACACACACCCACACACACACACACACACACACACACACACACACACACACACACCACACACACACACACACACACACACACACACACACACACACACACACACACACACACACACACACACACACACACACACACACACACACCACACACACACACACACACACACACACACACACACACACCACACAACACACACACACACACACACACACACACACACACACACACCACACACACCACACACACACACACACACACACACACACACACACACACCACACACACACACACACACACACACACACACACACACACACACCACACACACACACACACACACACACACACACACACACACACACACACACACACACACGAAACTGTATCAAACAAAACAGGAGTTGTTCAGTGTGAAATGAATGACATTATTCTGGCTGCTGATTTTAGGTACAATCATGATGAGTGGCTGTGGGATACTGACCAATGGGAAAGGAACCCGCAGGGAATACTGTGAATTCAGCCTTGATGAACTTCAGGTTTGTGACGAGATACACACACACATTACACTTCGTTTGCCACCTATAGTGTAAGTATGTCTGTTGTTATAATCTCCATCTCCTCTCATCCATGTTCAGGAGGGAGATCACATAGGGTTGATGCGCAAAGCAAGTGGAGCGCTCCATTTCTACATCAATGGCATAGACCAAGGTGAGACACGTCGGGACACTTCATGATGGTAGAAGGACGCCCACTGCTGGGGGAGGGCGGGCGGGCTGATAATGATGGGACCCATCAGAACAGATCAGGGCAAGGGCAACATGAACATATCTGTTTGCTTTTACATTATTATCAACACATTTTTTTCTATATTTTTTTTATCTGGGATCCCAAGATGCTTTAGATAAAAAAACATCTGCTGTTGAGTTATTGCAAAATTGCCAGAATTAATGAGAATAACTGAAAATAACCAAATAACCTTGAGTGTTGTCTCCACTCCTAACCACTCAGTGTCTTACCCAGTGTTGCGGCAGCCCAGACCCCCGGTGTGGTCTATGGTGTGGTCGATCTCTACGGCATGGCCGTCAAAGTCACCATAGTCCACAACCACAACCACAGTGACCGCCTCAGACGCAACAACGCCATCATGAGGGCTTTATCGCCCGACGTCGGCCGGCCCAGGCCCTCTCTTTCCCTCACGCCAGACTCGGAGGGGCCCGACCGACTTCTGTTCCACTCCAACTGTGGCCAGAAGGCCGCCATTATCAGTGAGGGCAGGACGGCGCTGCGCCCACAGTGAGTGTGAAAAAATATTAAAGCTTGCAATGGAGGACGTGTAGAAATCCTCTACATGCAGCACTTAAAACATGAAACAGTTGTATACTTGTAAGCTAACAACGCTGCTTACACAGTGCGACTGATGACTTCAACCATGGCGTGGTCCTGAGCAGCCGGCCGCTGCGCTCCAACGAGGTGTTCCAGGTTCGGATTGACAAGATGGTGGACAAGTGGGCGGGTTCCATCGAAATCGGTGTCACAACGCACAACCCTGCATACCTGCAGCTGCCCTCCACCATGACCAACCTGCGCTCAGGTAAAATACGATAAATCTGATTTTGTTACAGTGCGTATTCTTTTGACTCTCAGTCTGACATACTGGATGAACAATGGATGAAAAGTATATAAAGTAAATAAAGTTGTTTTAGTGCTATGTTCTTTCAATGTGGAAGAGTTTATGAGATACCTTTCAAACAGAACAGCAAAAAAAAAAACAGGATTGTTTTCCAGGGACGTGGATGATGACGGGGAACGGCGTGATGCACAACGGAACGACAATACTGGATGAGTATGGACACAACCTGGACCGGCTCAAGGTGAGTGATATTTGTGCTTCATTACTTAGCTTTAATAAGCTCAGCCTTTTTTATCCTCCTCCCACAACACTTCTGACCTTTTCCTGCGCAGTCATTTCTTATTATCTCCGCCAGACGTAAGTCTGGAGGGGATCATGCGTTTGGTCTGTTATATTGACTGAGCCTATTGTCTTTTCAGAAGTAATCGCCATTTTACAATCTGTGTTATGACAAAGCAAATGGTATTTCTGGCAGTCAGCTAGGCTTGGAGGGAGAGCTGGGTAGTGATGGGATTTTAATTTTTGTGGTATTTAATGTTCTAATTAATAAAGAAAGTTTCGATTCTGTTTATTGTTTCCTGATTAAGTTGGGCTAAGTTTATACAATACCATTACACTATTCTATTCATCTTTAAGAAAACTGAGACTATATTATTCAAAAGTATACTGTAAGAAAACTTTTCCCCACCCACAGGCCCCGAGACACACCTTACTGCACCCTACTCAGTGTGCTCTTTTAATTAACCCCTTTTCCCCCCTTGCAGGCAGGTGACACAGTAGGCGTAGTGCGGAAAGAAGATGGTAGCCTCCACTTCTTTGTAAACGGTGTGGCTCAGGGTCCAGCAGCCTGGAACGTCCCTCCCAGTGTCTACGCCGTGGTCGACCTCTACGGCCAGGCTGCTCAGGCCACCATCATGGACGACATGGGTGAGAGAGGGAGGAGGAAAAGAGTTAGGATGCTAAAATAACTGAGATTCTTCTTCAGAAAATGTGAACTTCTATCTATTCCCCCTCCTCTGCCTCTCCCTTTTGTTAGTGGACCTCCCCCCTCTCCCAGAGGACAGCTCAGAGGGCCCCACGGCCATGTCCCCCGGGAGCCCCTGCTCAGTAGGAGGGGCCAGCACCACCAACGACCTGCGTTTCCACCACCTACACGGCACCAACGCCGTCATCACCAATGGGGGGCGCACCGCCCTGCGGCAGAACTGCCGCAGCGAGTTCAACGACGCTATTGTCATTTCCAACAGGTGAGGAAAACTTTTAGCTCTTTGTTTCCATCTAGGGATCATAAGAAATAATTAGACATCAGTAAACGTGGTTAAGTAGTCACCAGATACACACGAGTACTGGAGGAGCTGACTCAGGATTTAAACTTCCTCCTTGTAGGTGCCTTCGAGATGGGGAGCTGTTTGAAATTGTTATTCAGAAGATGGTGGACCGCTGGTCGGGATCAATAGAAGCAGGTGAGGTGTTTCTATTTAAGTCAGTATGTGCTGTGTGTAACATTAAACTCTGCAACATCACTTTAGACATGTAAATGTATTTCACATGTGATTTCTCTGTGTGTCCAGGAGTGACGGCCATCAGGCCAGACGAGCTTGAGTTTCCCAACACTATGACTGACATCGACTATGACACTTGGATGCTCAGGTAGAACGTTATGAGAAACAACTCAAACGCTGTATTACCATATTATTTATATTTTTGGCTTTTATTAGGTTGTTACAACGTGCATCTAGCTGTTATAATGATGTACTCTGTCTTAATAATTAATTTAATTCTCAGCCTTTTTAAACCCGGAAGCCCTAAAATGAAGAAACTCTACTCCCGTTACCGATATAAACTTAAATTTTTTTTAGGTTATTTTCCCATAACTGCTGGAAGAAGTATAGAGCAACATGAAAAAGGAGAATTTATTACAAAATGTAATAATTTGTGGATGCACAGAGTAATCACAAGTAATCAGGTCAATTCAGTCTTACTAATTTTCCCACAGTGGAACGGCCATCATGCAGGATGGCAACACGATGCGCAACAACTACGGTTGTGACCTGGACTCCCTGACCACAGCCTCACGAATTGGCATGATGCGCTCAGCTACTGGTGACCTCCACTATTACATCAACGGCATGGACCAAGGTGTCGCCTGCTCCGGTCTGCCACCAGGTAATGAATAGTCAATAGAGGTCAGGAATCAGGATCAGATATTGCTGGAAAACCATTGGCTTGAGGTTTGGAGTGAACGTTTGGAGTGAAATTGCTGACCCGATACCTCATCCATGTCTCTCTCAGAGGTGTATGCTGTGATCGACCTGTATGGTCAGTGTGTTCAGGTGTCCATCACCAGTTCCTCAGGCCCACTGGACAACAGCCTCTGTACCAGCAATATCACAGAGAAGAGCTTCCCCATCCACTCACCAGGTACACGTCAGGGTCAGGGTGCTCAGGTCTGGAAAGCCTTGAAAAACCTGAAAAATATAGGCAAGTCAAGAAGTTTGGGAATTGTATGAAAAGTTTGTAAAAGGATGAAGTGAAATCATTTTATTATTATAATAATATATTAAATATTTATTCTTCCATGAATTCTGAAACACTTTGTGTTCGTTTTTATTTGGGAAAATAGATAACACAAATCTCACATATTATTTGGCCTCAAGGCCTCATCTCCATATTTCTTCTTTTGTATGTGTAGTAGCAGGCGTGGCCCATCGGCTCCACAGCAAACACGGCAAGAACGTGGTGCTGCTGGGTGATGGCTGCCAGGCCGTCAGAGTTGGTGGCTATGCTCATGGCATTGTGTTCAGTGGGAAGGAACTCAAAGCAGACGAGCTGTTTGAGGTAAGCGAGGGCTTGATTTATTTATATTTACCAGGAAATGCTGAAAAAGGACCTAAAGCAATATTCAAGTTAACATCTTAAATAACAGGACTTGCGTATACTGGAAAAAACACTGCATGGTTTCTGTTTCCCCCCAGTAGCTGGCACTTGTTTCTTCTCTTTCCTGATTTCTCTGTCTCTGTCCTCTTCTGCAGGTGAGGATTGATGAGGTGGATGAGCAGTGGTGCGGTTCGCTGCATATCGGTCTGACCACACTGGCACCCCCGGAGCTGCCGTCCTGCCCGCTGTCAGGTCTCTCCCCCTCCCTCCCGCAGCTTCGCACCAAGGTCACCTGGCTGCTCTGTGGCTCTGAGGTCCGTCGCAACGGTGTGCTGCAGCGCCAGAACTACTGCTGTTCACTGGACCGGCTGACGGTAAGCTGCCCCCCCTTTAAACCCTCAGTGATCTCATCTGCTGTCTCCGATTCATTGACTTTCCCTCTGGCCGCTTCAAAGCCCTGACCCACAGTTCAGGCCAAACAATGCATTAATATTTAATATTTCAAAAGAGAAATCTGGTAGTTTAGCAACACAAAACCATTATTTAATATTGATCTTAAGGTAAAAAATGCAGATGACACGCATACCTTAACACTCTGTACCTGAATAGTGAGTATATTGTGACTGTGTTGTGTACTTTAATCCATCAGTCTTCAAGTTCATTGATTTAAGTCTTATTTTCGACACATCGATGATCTAAAGAAGATATGATGATATGGATAAAGCTTAAAGCAGAACAGATTATTCATTTTGTCAGTACGTTGTGCGTTTCTTGAAGAAAACAAATCTGTGCTGCCAGCTGAAAAGATGTTCCCGTTTTAAAGTGATTGATTTTCACCGAATATGATCCTCAGGTCGGGAACCGTGTGGGTGTGAAGAGGTGCAGCGACGACACCATGCACATCTTCATCGATGGAGAAGACATGGGACCTGCAGCGACTGCAGTAGCCAAGGTATACACACACACACAAACACACACAAACACACCTTCAGTACACAGCTACCTGGCATTCAGCACCTCTCTCTGGCTCCTTGCAGAATGTGTACGCAGTTTTGGACCTGTATGGACGGATAACGGCAGTGTCCATCGTGAGCGCTTCGTTGATGGAGGACATGGAAAGCGTCAAGGCGCCCTCGCTCTCCTCAGACAGCTGCAGCGAAGGAGAGGAGGACAGCACCCCCGTCAGAGAGGTAGGAGCCTAAAGGGAGGCGGCGGTTCAAACAGTTTGTCTGTTAACACACAGTGTTTTCTGAGAGATGACTCCGACTCTTCACGTCACCTCTTGTTGCCTCCAGGTGGAGACGGAGCCGTGTGCGCTGGTGCCCACCGTCATGGCGTTCCTGGAACCACGGCAAAAACATCCAGCTGTCCAACCAGAACCTGACAGCGGCCAGAGTATCCAGCTACAACCAGGGTCTGCTGGTCACTGCGCAGCCGCTGGCTCGCCAGCAGCTGTTCCAGGTAACTTTACGGTACTGACTCTCTATAGGGAGGGCAGGTGGCTATTTTTTCAAGTTCATTTCCTTCATTTTAATAACTGAGTTTGAAATAAAAGGCAGGCAGTGTTGACATAGTGCTCCATGTTGAATGAAAACAGTAAAAAAAAATACCTGTTTTCCAGATTTACTGTATTAAGATATTTCTCAGTTAAATAGCTTAATACAGTACTTAAATATGTAAATGTAGAATTACTTTCCTAAATATCAGCATGGGAATTTCCTTTTTTTCCCTTATGTTCTCTGTTTTATTACACTATGACCAGTTAAAGATACTGGCATTTGTTGAAAATTGTGATTTTAGTCAATTTTATGTCCATAATAAAGGAATACAAAAATATATCTTTATATTTATAAGAAAAACTCTCCCTTTTATTTCTTGCCACAAGTTTATTTACAAGTAAAATGTGTACTGAATATAACGACAAGGTATTTTAGCTGTGACTTTTCAGCCTGTCAACTGCCACTCTTCGGTCACCAGTTTCAGATCGACCGTCTGAACCCGTCATGGACGTCGTCGCTGTCGTTAGGGGTCATAGGTCACTCCCCCGACCGTCTCAACTTCCCCTCCACAGCGTGTTGTCTGAAACGCTCCGCCTGGCTGCTGCAGAGAGACTCTGTCTTCCACAACTCTCTAAAGGTAACACACACACACACACATCGTTCTGTCATGTTTGCTGATTTTTGTCTTACATGAGTGTGTGTGTGAGTGTGTCTCATTGACTGATTGATCTTTTCTTGTTTGTCTCTCATTTGCTGGTGTCTCTTCCTACTCTTTCTTCTATTTTCATTTACCATCATCATCCTTCCGATCCCTGCCGTCTTTGCTCGTTTTTTTCTTTCTCTCCTGTTCAAATGTTTTTTTCTTTCTGCTAATCACCCTTTTTCCTCAGACTTGTGAGAACTATGGTCCTAATCTGGACACTTGTCCGGAGGGGACGGTGTTGGGTCTGCTGGTGGACGCCAACAGTTGTCTTCACCTCTACGTCAATGGCATGGACCAGGGTGTGGCAGCGCAGGACATTCCTTCGCCCTGCTACCCCTTCATCGACCTCTACGGCCAGTGTGAACAGGTCAGCGCTGCAGATGCCTACATACTTCAGTTTGTCCTGTTCCCTTCTGGTATCACACTCGGACAAAGTGGGGAGACCACATGAGTTGTGACATAAAATTTTATTTCAAGTCCAGAGGGTCATAACAGAGTTCTTAAATAAGAGAATAATCCCAATTTGGTTGAATTTACCCGTCATTTAGACACAACAGCTGTGAACTACCGTGTCTCTGTCACAGTGTTAGAAATTTGTAAGAATATTATTATATAGTGGGGCGATACACAGTAATATTAAATGATCACTCAACCCTAGTATCATGTTTATCAAATCCTAAGTACAAAACAGTGTGACTCCTTTAATAAAGTTATCGCTTCACCATCACCCCAAAACCTCCACACGCTCTTGATAAGCTGTTTTTTGATCAGCTTCAAAAAGAAACGTCTATATGTCATCAGACTCATCAAAGTTGATTAACAGTATGATCCCAGTTTAAGAACAACAGAAGAGTTGTTCTTTTTTAGATTAATCGATCCATTAATACGTCTATAACATGTCAGGAAAAAAAAAGAAATAGCGCAGCGTAATTTTCTACAATCCCAAGTAACGTCTTCAAATCAGTTGTTCTATTTGATCAAAAATATTAAATCTAAAATGAATGAAAAAACAACTCCTGACGTTTTGAGACGCTGTAACCAACTTGTGGTTGATGTTTTTGCTTGATTAATTACTTAAAGGATCTTTTGACGGAAATGCAATTTAATATCCGTAACTATGTTTTCAGTGGTGTATAAAAGACCTTACATAATAAACCATTACGCTTTTATTACCTTAGAATGAGACATTTCTATCTACAGACACCGCGGGTCCTCTTACATGCAGTGACTGATGGTGACGTGGTGTCAGAATAATTGGAACCACTAGATGCCACTAAAACTTACACACTAAAAAAAATAATTCTGGTGCTGGGCTAATCAATTAATAATTTCAGCACTACATCACTATGAACCAAATCTTAAGATATGCTAATGAATGTCTCATCATGCCAGGTTACTATAGTTACAAACAACGTGCCAGCTGTGGATGGAGAGAGCGGTGAGGCCCGTTGTCAGGGTGACATGGAGAAGGCGGACATGGTTGACGGTAGGCAGCCAGCGTTTACTGTTTATCTTTTCCTTTTTTCCTTTCAGTCTTTTAAACTCTTGTCGTATTTTTACATGCAGGAATCAAAGAGAGTGTGTGCTGGACACCGCCTCCCGAGGTCAACCCCAACAAGACCTGCGAGTACCAGGCGCTGTGCTCGCGCTTCAAGGATCTGCTCACGTTACCAGGTGAGTGTTGTTCCAGCCTCTCTGCCACGATCTCCGTCTCGGTCTGACATCACATAACTATCACCATCTTCTCCTCCACTGTCCGTAAAAAAGATGGATATTTTAACGAAGACGCGAAGTACAACCTGTGCTACTGTGAGTCCTGCCACAAGCTCCGGGGTGACGAGGCATACTACAAAAGAGGAGAGCCGCCGCGGGACTACGCCCTACCCTTCGGATGGTGCCGTTTCGCCCTCAGGTGAGAGGACGACCTCCCAGTCAGATACATGATGGAGCTGGACGGGTTTGAGAGGCACAGTAACAGTATTACCAACAGCTGTAGATGTGTACTTCACAGTACCAGGGAGAATGTTTATAAAATGACTGGATACTACTTTAATCTCACCATGATCCATATGAAGCAATGACCGGAGAAAGCTAGTACAGAAAAACGTAGCAGGTTTTGTGTCACTTGCCAATGAGGAAACTAATAAGCTAGTGCATGTGTTTATTCTTCCAATGAGAAATTAAAATGACATCAATGGGACAATTAAATTCACCTTGTCTGCTGCCTTACCGTCTGTGTATCTATTCATCTGTAACGTCTGTGCAGCGTTCTCATTGCTACATGTGTGTCTACAGGTGCTGGTCATATAATTAGAATATCATCAAAAAGTTGATTTATTTCAGTAATTTCATTCAAAAAGTGAAACTTCAATAACTACATTCATTCCACATAGAATGATATATTTCAAGTATTCATTCCTTTTTTCTTTTTAATGATTATAACTGACAACTAATGAAAACCCCCAAATCAGTATCTCAGAAAATTAGAATATTGTGAAAAGGTTCAATTTTGCAGACACCTGGTGCCGCACTCTAATCAGCTAATTAACTCAAAACACCTGCAAAGGCCTTTAAATGGTCTCTCAGTCTAGTTCTGTTGGCTACACAATCATGGGGAAGACTACTGACTTGACAGCTGTCCAAAAGACGACCATTGACACCTTGCACAAGGAGGGCAAGACACAAAAGGTCATTGCTAAAGAGGCTGGCTGTTCACAGAGCTCTGTGTCCAAGCACATTAATAGAGAGGCGAGGGGAAGGAAAAGATGTGGTAGAAAAAAAGTGTACAAGCAATAGGGATAACCGTACCCTGGAGAGGATTGTGAAACAAAATGTGGGGGAGATTCACAAAGAGTGGACTGCAGCTGGAGTCAGTGCTTCAAGAACCACCACGCACAGACGTATGCAAGACACGGGTTTCAGCTGTCGCATTCCTTGTGTCAAGCCACTCTTGACCAAGACACAGCGTCAGAAGCGTCTCGCCTGGGCTAAAGACAAAAAGGACTGGACTGCTGCTGAGTGGTCCAAAGTTATGTTCTCTGATGAAAGTAAATTTTGCATTTCCTTTGGAAATCAAGGTCCCAGAGTCTGGAGGAAGAGAGGAGAGGCACAGAATCCACGTTGCTTGAAGTCCAGTGTAAAGTTTCCACAGTCAGTGATGGTTTGGGGTGCCATGTCATCTGCTGGTGTTGGTCCACTGTGTTTTCTGAGGCCCAAGGTCAACACAGCCGTCTACTAGGAAGTTTTAGAGCACTTCATGCTTCCTGCTGCTGACCAACTTTATGGAGATGCAGATTTCATTTTCCAACAGGACTTGGCACCTGCACACAGTGCCAAAGCTACCAGTACCTGGTTTAAGGACCATGGTATCCCTGTTCTTAATTGGCCAGCAAACTCGCCTGACCTTAACCCTATAGAAAATCTATGGGGTATTGTGAAGAGGAAGATGTGATACGCCAGACCCAATAATGCAGAAGAGCTGAAGGCCACTATCAGAGCAACCTGGGCTCTCATAACACCTGAGCAGTGCCACAGACTGATCGCCTCCATGCCACGCCGCATTGCTGCAGTAATTCAGGCAAAAGGAGCCCCAACTAACTATTGAGTGCTGTACATGCTCATACTTTTCAGTTGGCCAACATTTCTAAAAATCCTTTTTTTGTATTGGTCTTAAGTAATATTCTAATTTTCGGAGATACTGAATTTGAGATTTTCATTAGTTGTCAGTTTTAATCATCACAATTAAATAAAATAAACATTTGAAATATATCAGTCTGTGTGTAATGAATGAATATAATATCCAAGTTTCACTTTTTGAATGGAATTTCAATTTTTTTATGAAATTCTAATAATATGACCAGCACCTTAATATGTGCATATGTCCTCTTTGTGCAGGATCAAGCCCCACTGTGAGGTTTCTAATGCACTGAAGAAGTGGCACATCGCGTACCACGGCACCAGCGTAGGAGCTCTGCGACGTACGCTGGACCACAGCCAGCTGCTGGCTGGTAAGAAAAATCACACATGCTCTTTTTACAAAGACACACCCTGTGCCACTGAGGTTCAAGGGTGTTCCTCCCTAGACCTGTATGGTACGGTGTTGCCTCTGGGCAACATACCCATTTTTGGCCTAGTACACCTCCACCAAACATCCCAAAATATGATGCATTACTGTAAAAGAGTTGCAGGGCCTTAAGGAAACCAATAGCAGTGTTAAAATTTGTCACATGATTCTCTGGCCCCCATTATGAATCCTTTTAGTGCTGCTTTTGACACATGGTTCAGCTCCATTTTCTCTCTGCATTAAACGGCCCTCAAAAACGGCCCTTTTTTGACCCAGAAAAATTATATTCACACTAATAGGTGAGTAAAGTTTAATTTTTTTTATAGTTAAGCAACATCATACCATTATGGAATCCCGCGATTTTTTTAATGTTGTGCTTTTAGGTTTTATATACTGATCAAAAGCGTAACAGTTAACATAATTTTTTACATTAATTGATTCATTAATTATACATTTGATAATGTTGGTTGTAACAAGACCGTAATAAAAAAATAAAATTTACACTGGATATTTTAACCTTACGCCTGCAGAGCACATGCTTATATAGGGTTAAACACATTGTTCTTCCATTAAGAGGATGAACACAAAGGTTTTCTATGGTTCATCAAAGAAAAGGGCACTTCCAGTTGATGGTAGTGAGGATGAATAAGGATTTAGTAGTGAGGAAAACGGTGAGTTGCTGGAAATCCTGCAAGAAAAATAAGAGAACGCAGACTAGGAAAAGAGTGAAGAAGAGCAGTGAGGATAAAAGTGCAGTGACAGGTGTGAGTATAAGATAGCGAGGAAACCTATTTAATAACTTGTTTTCACTTATTGATAATGCGATGCATTTTGTTGACTTTCTACGCTATGTCGACTTCCTTAAGTATTGAGCCCTGAAACAGCACCAGAAAACTGAAGACACACATTTAAATCTAACACAAATGAGGAGTTGATGGAAGGTAACTCTGTTTTGATTTTCAGCATGTTTTTGGTGATTAGATTAAAATTTTTTAATGTAAACTTTGTTAAATATGTGTACTCTCTTTTTTGCTTTCATTCCTATAGGCGGTTCCAAATGATTTATATTTTAAACTGGTAAAGCCATTAAACATGTTCATTGAGTATTTTAAGAAATCTTATTCAAACTTTAAATAATAACTCTCTTTTTCCATTCTTTACCATTGTGCTTTAAGGCAATGTACCCCAAAGTTTACCCCCAAAATGTTTTTTTTTATTTAAAATTTCTGTAAATGTTTACTTGGTCCATTTTATGACAAAAAACACAACAGTAATTTTTACCCACTGGCAAAATAATGCATATCATAGAGGGCTAGACCTTAATCCACTGAAAGACAAACCAAACTTTGTTTTTCATAGAGTTCAGCAGATGACCGGAAGGTGTGCTTCTAAAACTAAAGCCTAATTTGTGAATGTTGTTTTGTTGATGCAGGGACGTCGTCCATCTTCTCAGTGTCCCCGGTAAAGGCGGAGGGGCCTAACGGCTACAGCGAGCCAGAGGAGAACAGCGCCCCCGGCAGGGAGGTTCCCAGAGTGCGGCTCTCTCCCACTATGCGCTACTCCGGCATGGAGATCTTTGCCCCTAAAGTGCAGTAAGTCCACCTGGTTCAGAAAACCACTTATTTTATTTTGCATTTTGAAATTTGTGCCCAAAAAGGTAAATAATTATTTGGTATTTTTATTGTGTTATTTATTTTTATCTATTGTGACGAGCTCACAGGAAACGAGGGGAGAGAGAGCCCTTACTGATAGTTCGTCTTCTTCTAATGCAGATTCCAGGACCCCCGTTCTCACCGCTGCCACCAGGCTCAGGTGGGATTCCAGGTGTGTGTGCGTCCCGGCTCCTACAAGGTGGGACCCCAGACGCTTGGCCACAGCGAGCCCCTTGACCCTCGCTTCAGCAACTCAGAGATCGAGTGGATCACTAAGGAGCAGGGCGGCACGCTCCTCTACGGACTGCTCATCCGGGTCGAGTGACCGGAGCGGGCGCGGGAGGCATTCGGGTACAAGTGTGGGGAGGGGGGGGGGGGAGTCCGTTTGGCGCTCCTCGTACTTTTAAATGAACTGACAACCAAATCCAACCCCTGCCTTGAGCGAGAGACTCCTCTGGAATCCAGCTGTTCCTACTGTGGATTGTTGACAATTCAGCATTATTGATTTGTTTTGTTTATTTAGTTGGTTTTTGGTTGTTTGCTCTTGGACTCTTTTAATGGCCGGGGGCGACGGCGGTTTCAAAGAAGAACAGACACTGCCTGCACTTTATGTTTCAGACACTCGTGGGCGATTTTTAAACTAACTTCTCATCGACACAACATGTTGGTTCATTCGCTAAAGTTAGTTATGTTGCCACATTTTTGTTCTCATTCTTCCAACTTGTTTTCTTCCACCCTCAAACAGCTTTTTTTTTTTTTTGGCATTTATTTTAACACTTGTCACCTCTGCTCTGGTCAGTGTTTTATTTTAGGGGGCGCTGTCCCCTGCGAATCTGCACGTTTATGGACTGTCACCTAAAAAGACTGAAACGTGGGTAAAAGAAAATAAATAAAAAAATACAAAAATAGAAGGAAAAAAACCAGACACTTGAATCTGAGAATGAACCCAAGAGTGTCTTGTGATTGTCTTTGAGGGGTGGGGATTTTAAAACTGGAGGAAGAAAAAAAAATGTTTACACATGTGTACCTCTGTATGTTGCTGTCCTCTTCATGTCTCCACATTAGCAGTCTGGCTACTTTATCAGTCCTGTTTGCGTTTCTGTTCTGGCTGGTCCTGTTAAGTGGAAAATTATTCACAGACTTTAAAACTGTGGAGAAAACTGGAGGGTTTGAAACCTCCTGCACCTTTTGGGAAGCTAAAACTTATTATATATTGAGATAATGAATGGTAAATTTTGGATGATAAGATGTCTGTTTGGTTAATATGAAGCTACAACAAGCGGCCGGCTAATTTAGCTTAGCGACAAGACTGAAAGCAATCCAAAGCCATTAAATTCCCAAAGTAAACATGCTTTGTCATGTTTGTTTAATCCTTAGGTTACAGAAACAGAAGTGCAAAAATGAGCGTTCGCCATTTTACATTAGTGCTGAACTATTTATTGGCCAGTAATAACGGCTAATGTTAATTAGTGAGTGTTAAAAGCTGCTGATTGGTGGGTTTGTGGCTGTAGCTTCATGTTAGCGTACAGAGCCGGTGTGAGTTGCGCACTAAGATACGTGGTTATCTTTTCATCTAGCAAACTCTAGTCAAGAAAACGAATTTCCCAAAATGATGTTTTTAAAAATGGACTGAAGCCAAAAGGTTCAAGTGGTTTTCCCACATCACTCCTGCTGTCTCGCCCCCCACGCATTGTTTACTGTAGACCCACTCACACCTCCACGCTGATCTAGCTATTCACTCTGTTCCCTGCTGATCTAGAATCAATTCAAGATCAGCAGGAGGACGTCTGCATCCCACGACCTTCACCGTGTTTACATGTGAATGTTTTAAGTAGGGCTCTGCAGATCTTTCAGTTTAACTAACGCTGATTTACACGTGTCAAATGTTTATACAAGGGTTTTATTTGATCTAAAACATCCACCTAATGGTTGATTGAATGTGAAGAAGCTTTTTCAAAGCGTGTCTTTGTTTTTCACACCATTCTCAGTCCTGTTGCCAATTTGATAAAAACCTGCATTGAACCCCCCCCCCAACATTTTAAGGCACAGTTCTGATGAGTCAAACTCATTGAGAAAAAATAAAAGGACAAAAATGAAAGTTCAGTCACCTTCTAAGAGCAGCTGTGATCTGACTGATGGAAGATGAAGATCTACGGGGGTTGGCAACACTTCCAAACAGAAATGTGAAATATTATTACATGGGTTATTTACAGCCCAGTGCTGCTTTGTACAATTTAATTTGTATTGTTTTATTTTTATTTTGTTTTCTGTATGTTGCGTTGTACAGGCTGTTACATAACAAATCATATCTTCCTGATTTATAAAAAATAAAAATAAACTGACAGTATGCACAGAAAGATGGTTAAATTGTTTTTTTATATATTTATACACTGGGCTGTAAAACATGGCCCTGCGATGGACTGGCGACCTGTCCAGGGTGTACCCTGCCTTTCGCCCGATGTCAGCTGGGATTGGCTCCAGCCCCCCGCGACCCTGTGTGCAGGATAAGCGGTTGACGATGGATGGATGGGCTGTAAAACAAATATGCCATGAAGAAAAGACAATCTACTGATGCTTTTGGTTCCTTTTTTCAAATTTTATTTAAGAGTAGGAAAAAAGTCCAGTCACTGACATGTTATTGCAGTGTTGCATACTTACTCAATCAAACCCTTTTCTAAAATGCTGTAGACTAATTACTCATTAAGGCCAATAGTGGATTTTTCATAGCTTTTTTACAGAAATAGTGGCTGCTTCCAGCTCTGTCAGTTAAGTACAGACACACACGAAGGAATTTAAAAATGCAGAGACTC